TCTACTTATGCGATATGGCCCGTCGTGACACACAAGTAGTGTCTACGTCCGTCAACAGCAGCATATTCACCTCGGATTCCAAGCTTCCCATGGGTCAGCAGCGACTAGATGATGGCAGGCACACCTATTCTTCTCGCGGTTTCCATGCACTAACCAAGCATAGATGTTCAGAGCACTCATCACCATTCGATGCAGCATCGCAGCGTTACCAGTCTCCACAGTATGGATCATGGTGCTGGTCTGCCCGGCAGCGGTAATTACAGTCGTACGCCAGAGCTTCGTATAAGCCACAAGATGGCGGAGCGGAAGCGGAGGAGTGAGATGAAGAATTTATTCGATGAGCTGAACAATATCCTACCAAATTCACCGGGAAGCAAGTCCAGCAAATGGGAGGTTCTGACCAAGTGTAAGTTCGATGCTACTATTTAGCTCCTCAGCTAACCTCTTGGAGCCATCGAGTATATTAGAAACCTGAGCGCGTCTCACACGAGGGCTAACAGAGAAGTCGAGAGCCTACGAGCCCAGGCTGAATATGTTCGCCAAGCCCGACAAGAAAACATGGATTTACGCAATGAATTGAACGCTGTATGGACTGCTCTGCGCCGCGCGGATCCCGCCGGTCCACATGTGTATGGAACCAATACTGCTGCCTTGGCGCAGCAACACGCTTCGGCACCCACTCCTTCCAACAACATTCTCCCGCCATTACAACAGCAACAACAGCAGCAGCAGCAGCAGCAAGCACCTCCACCGCAACAAACCGCTCATTGGATTTCGTCTGCACCATCTGCAATGCAGGGCGTCGAATTCGGGGGTGTTCGACCTTACGAGCATCCTCATCGCTGAAACACTGCGAATACCTGGCACCATATCAATTATTGATGTCACCAGCGCTAGGAGCATACCCTGCGCCAGGGAAAATTTACGCCTTTGATTCAATCTAACGTCTCGCCATTTTATTTCATCAAAAAAGTTATCCCATCTTTTGACTTTCACCCACGGGACTGCCTCCACAAAAGGGCTCCTTCGCAGTCGTCATCATCGTCTACGCTAGAGAGAGCCTCTTTCAAAGGGTAGCACTTTTGTTTCATCGCATGGTCGCACAGTCAATGGACCAAAGTCAGCGCTGTTGCAACTTGTCGACCAGTCAAACCCAATTTTTTTTTCATTATAAGTCTCTCCTATAATGGATTAGCTTTGCCCGAGGGGCGCATTCAAAGACCTCTTTCTCGTCGGTAAATCTTTGTTCGAAACTCTTACGCATGTTCTTGTTACTTTTGGGGAGAAACATTGGCGCTATCGGGAGTTCTCTATATACCCATGAATCGAAAATATGGGGCAAAAGGAAATCGGACCATCGGAAAAGTTTGTCGGGACTTTCTGATGCCATGTGCCTAGCACGGTGGTGCCTGGACCAAGGTCTTACTTGAGCTTTTTTGAGAATTTGTTTGCACGGCTGCTCGCCATGACGGGGTTTACGTCGTGTTGGCCGAGGGTCTGTTTCCATACCTTTTTTGTCGGGCCTGCGGACAGGCAACCCGACCTTTTCAATCCATCTGTGCCTTGGATTCCTTGTGCACTGGCTTCTTTTGCTCGCATCATGCTGCTGCTGCTGTAACACCATGAAAGATTCGGATAAGGACGCGTTCAACGCGGTAGTTAGCGCCTGGACAGTTTTCATCTCGGGTAGACGTTGTCCATAAATAGGAGTCGTCTAGTCCACAAAGCTAGTCTATATTTCGGAATCATCTACGCTTCATCATCGTTATCTTTTTCCTCCACCACCATGCCCGTCTGCTACAGAGGCCCGGACCTTGTCTGTCCCTCTCCACCCTCCTCCGTCTGGCTGGTCCTCATGCTACTTCTCCGCCTACTCCGACTAACGACGCCAGGAAAGATTCTTGGCTCGCCATCCAAGGTCATGCTACTCGTTACTCTCGACAACCCCATTGGCTCCTCGCTGTCGAGATGCTGGGGACTCTGTGGCGGCTGGGGTGCAGAAAAGATATTGGGCTGGACCGTCATACTAGAAGTACGGCGCAGGCGTTCAGGCTGGCCTCCCTCTTGAGCGCTAGTAGGCGAGCCAGGCTGCGGTTGCAGAGCAGGCACGTCGGGTGTCGAGGCAGACGGATGTAGGCGAGCTTGTTGGGCTGGGAACATGGGCCCCGAGTGGGCTGCTGGCGGTAAGGTGGAAAAAGGGTGCGAGTGTTGTTGGTCGAGGACGCTTGAGGAGGGATGCCCGTGCATGGAATGGTTTGAGGAGCCAGGCATGCCGTGAAGAGACTTGGGTGTTCGGGAGACTTCTTCCGTGGGCTGCAGATTTGAGCGCGTGAGATTGTTACCGCTCGTCTGGGCGGCGCGGGTGTAGCGATCGATCCTATTTTGTGTCAGGGTTATGCGACCTCATACACCCCACGTGTTCTGGACCTACATCTGAAGCTCTTGGTTGAGCGTTTCATGTCGGAACGCCTCCCGGACGCTGGGTACATTCGACCTCGCCATGTCATTGCCAGAGACACCTGGAAGGTGATAGTTGGCACCCAGCCACTTCTGCTTAACAATATGTTCAAAGCCACTTTGCTCAACCGAGTGTTTGGCAAGTTCGCACATGTCTACCGCACTCAACTTGTAAATTTGCGCTGCGACTGAATATTCTTCGATGAGTGGCTCTTTGGTAAAAGCGAATTGAAGAGGGTCGTCGGTGGACAACGAGACATTGAGACCACGGCGAAAGTAGCTCAAAAAGGGGTTACGTTCATAGGCCAGGAACAATGCGTTATTGCTGAGAGGCGACATGGCAACACCAATTTGTTCGAGATAAAAGATATACTGTAGGAGTGGAACTTTGCGAAGCAGCAGACCATGACTGATGCTGTGGCAGCAAAGAACAGCAGCAGCTAAATGGTCAGTGTCTCCAGCTTCACCACAGTGTGGCCGAAGTAGAAAGGTGTTGAAGCCGCGCTGCTTCCTCCAGACATTCAAAGATGCCATGTTCGCAAACAAGTAGTACATCCAGTAACTGTAAGGAGGATTCTGCTTTGTGCTCCATTCCTTGGGAAAAGGAAACTTCTTGTACACTCTCCTTTCAACCTTGCTCTCGTCATCGACGCTATCAAAGCCAATGACACGTTGTAAAAATATATGAAGTTTGGGGTGAGTCGTAGGATCTTTTGTGACCTCAAACAAGGGCTGGAATATGTTCACAATCACTTGTTGGAAATTATCCATCAATCCAGTCGCCTTGTAAACGTCAAACAGACGCGGCACCTGTACTAGCCAGCGGACATTTGGCGAGAAGAGCTTATTGTCAATGACCCAGGCAGCAAGCTTATCCCATTCGTCAATGTCACGACCGTAAATAGATATGCGCCACTCCACGAACTGGTACTTGCTTGACTCGAGATCGGCGATGACCTCTTTGGTAATCTCAGCGAGATAGCGTCCCTTGATAAAATTGTCTGTCTTGAGGAAGATGGTTCGCAGACGTGACTCTCCAATGGGATTGTACTTGAGGTTGAACTTGTCGAATCGATGGAATGAGTCGGTGTGTGCCTATCTTGTAAGCCGATGTCAGGAATCAAGTGGTCGGCCACCTACATGCATATCCAAAGTGTCAATACTCAGGTCATATGCTGTCAAATTAATGGATTCGAAAACTTCCTTCAAGGTCAAGTGTTTACCATCACGGAACAAGACTACCTCGTCGGGTGATTTCTTCATCTTTGACTTGATGAAACGCAGTAGGTGCTTTTGATTCATACAAGCCGAGTGATGTACGTGAGTGTCGACTTTTCTTACATTGTAAAAATCTCGATGTGGTACCTTCTTGCTATCGGCCGTCTCTTGGTACTCGTTTAGAAGGTAGTATAGGTTGAATTTACCCTCTAGATACTGTAGGCGACGGAAGGCAAAGCTCTTGCTAGGTCCGTCAGAAGAAATTTCAAGGATAGAATCAAGATCAATGTAGAATTCACGCAAAGTCGGGATCGCTACGATGGGCTGATCGAGCTCCGCCGACTTGGCAGTTTCGTACACCTGGAATACACCACTGTCATCCAGACGGAACGACATCTCTCCAGGACCCGGTACTGGTAGTAGGTCGTCTAGGTAAAAGTCTTCTCCGATGTTTGTACCCATTTTACGCGGGGGTTTTGGTGGGTCTGTAGGCTCTAGTATGGTGCTGCTCTGCAGACTACTAGAGGCATTGCGACGCTCTTTGGAGGTGTCATTCCACACCGGCTCTGGGTGAGGTGGGTATATGCGCCACCCTGGCTCGTCTTTTGGATTGTCGAAATTACGCTGTAGCGATAAGCGGATGTACTTGTGACGTAAATCCAGCACTTTTTGCACATTTGTATAAATGGCACTGAGCTCCGCTGTGACGTTGGAGTCGGACATGGCAAAGCCTCCTGCTCCCGATCCTACTCCTATCCCTGCGCCTGCGCCGTGTATGCCTTCTGCAGCAAGTAGAGGTTTCGATTCACGGGGCAGTTCCGGATGATGTGTGTGAGAACGAGCGTTGAGGTCGGCCTGAATCAAGGGGTCGACTTGATCATAGCTTCCATGAATGTTGGCAGCGTGTGATGGTGAATCTTGTGGGGCATCTGCATGTGACAGGCCAACAGGCAGTGCAGACCTATTTCCTTGATTGGTGAGACTGGCATTGCTCTTGCGTGAACGAATGCTGTCGGTTCTGCTCACAAGGTCGACGCCTTCCGTGGCCATGGCCATGGTGGTGGGGAACGTCTTGGCTCGTAGGGCTGGACTGGACGTGTCGCCTGCTTGCGAGCCGCCATACTGGGTTTCCAGCTGGTGGCGCTGATAGAATTGCTTGGCTTCCGTATGGCTCATTTGCTTCTCGGCCGTGTAGTCATAGAAGGCGGTACGGCGTTGTTTGTCGCGGGGTAGCATGCCATCGCCCTCCTCTTCTATGCTACCGTCGGCCGGGTCCTGGATTGTGGCCGTCGCGCCACCGCCTGCCCGTGTAAGGCTGCTGCCATCAGGCTCAGGCTCAGACAGAGTGGCACTGACATCGTCTTCGGAGCTGGGCATCTGGTCGTCTTGAGGGCACAGGTCGGGCGATGCATCAGCATCTGCAGAAAAAGTTCCTGGCAATAGTCCATTAGCAGAGGGAAGGTGCAATCGAGGTAGAAGGTTGATTTTGGCCTATGATACCTTTTAGCATGGTGCTGCCCATCACTGCTATGGTGTTCAGGTAGGGATGGCAGTGACAGCAGGATTGTGGATTGTGGGGAGAAAGGAGGGGAGGGGAGGGAGGGGTGTCACAAATGTTCTCTCATACAGGACTAGGTACATATGGGCAGTAGTGACGCGCTTCGGAGATGGCCGCCATGTCGCCTAACCCCGTGATCGACGTACCATTTGTGGCACCATTTCAAACTTGACCCGATGTGTGTAGGTGGTGGTGGGTGGCTACATGACGAATGCTGGTGCTGGTGCTGGTGTCGGTGTCGGGCGCTCAGTCTGTGTGAGTAAGAGGGGATGATTTACCTGCACACAAATATAGAGAGAGAATGCTAGATGTGTGTGTGTGTGTGTGTGTGTGTGTGTGCATGTGTTCGTGGTCGTGGTCGCGTCGTGGAGACAGGAGAGCTACTGCTCTACTACCTGTAGATAGCATACGTGTACAGAGCTATACTATATTCTCTATCTTTCTGTCTCTCTGTCTCTCTGTCTTTCTCTACTTACTTCTCAGGCTTCAGCCTCCACGCTCCACGCACGCCCTTGAAGCGCTCTCTGGCGCAGTTGGGAAGGCCAGCACCATCAGTCGTCACGTGAGAGTGATGGGACTACCATGTAGCCTTATCCTAATCCGACCAAGTGCTAACTCCTAAACAGACCTAGCGAGTGGTCCAAGCGCTAAAATTTCAAAGTCAGTCGGAAGCCCAGACGGCCAACGGGCGAAGAAGAAACTCTCAATCTTCCTCAATCGTCCTCAATCGTCCTCAATCGTCGCCATCACCACCTACTGCACCCAAAAGTTGCCTTACCATCATGTAAGCTGTCGCTCACTCCCTCGCAAAAACGGGCCCCCTTCAGTGTGTACTCGGTGCACATGAATCTTCTCTGCACGGGAGCGTCTGTTCACGTCAATTGCTTGTGCTCATTATGCATTTCTTCTAGGTTTCTCTTCCGACGCAGCGCTGTGCGTGCATTCAGCGCCACGCCCTCGAAGGCCTTCCTTGCCCAACCACGCTCCATTACTTCCATCACACCTTCCGCCCTCCGCCTACGACAGCAATCTTGGGTCCGTTGCCTCTTTCCAGCGCCGATTTGCCAGCGACGAGGCGACCAAGACCGAGTCTGCAGCTGAAGCCGCCGAGGCTGCTGAGGCAAAGGAAAACTTTGCTCAAACGGCAGCAGAGGCTCCCGTCGAGGAGAACTTGACGCCGGCACAGCAGCAGGCGCAAGCTGACCCCACGAACGCCTCTGCGACTGTCACGCCTGATGCTCTCTTCACTGCTGAGACTACGTTAAGGACCCGACCCCGCCGCGATACTTCAGACGCTCCACCAGGCAGGACACTGTACATTGGCAACCTTTACTACGAAGTCACTGCAGACCAGCTGCAGCGCGTCTTCTCGAGGTTTGGTGAGATCGAGAATGTGAAGATTATCTACGACAACAGAGGCCTGAGCAGAGGGTAAGCCTCTTCCCACGTACTTGTATCTCTCCAATGGTCGTGCTAACCCTGCTGCGCTCAGATTCGGATACGTCGAGTTCAAGAACATCCCAGATGCACAGACTGCCATCGATAACCTCGACATGCAGGTGTTCGAAGGCCGCAACCTCGTTGTCCAGTTCCACCGTGAAAAGCCTGGGTTCGGCAAAAATAATCGCGCCAACTCCACCAATTCTCCCTCCAAGACTCTGTTTATCGGCAACATGTCGTTTGAGATGTCAGACAAGGACCTGAACGACCTGTTCCGCGAAGTCCGCAATGTTGTCGACGTTCGCGTTGCCATTGACCGACGGACCGGCCAGCCCAGAGGATTTGCTCACGCAGATTTCCTGGATATTGCCAGCGCCACACATGCCAAGAATATCCTGGCCAACAAGGTTGTCTACGGACGGGAGCTCCGCATCGACTTTAGCCACCCTGCTATCGAATCAAGAGACAAGCGCGCGGACTCTACTCAAGAATAAAAGAGAGAAGAGGTGATGGTGCATTCCTACCAGCCCAGGAGCAAGGGAAACTTCGGCCAAATAATGACACTGGATGTGCAACCGAGGCAGGACTGCGAATGAACTGCCGACGAAGATTATGGCACGTAGCAATGCTCCACGTTGTCGCGGATAGGCTGTTAATGTATGGGTGGCTCGGACTGCATGTACTGGATGTGAATGAGGAGTGATTGGCGTTTGTTGTCTCTCTTCCTGCATACTCTGAGCAGATGATGGGGGGAGGGCCAGACGCTCTGATGTCGTCTCAAAATGTACAATAGAAACTTCTTCACTACCTAGTAACAGAACTTGAACGATCATGGATTTGTACCTTGTGACTTGGTCGTGTGCGTATTCCATCGAAGGCGGGCATGATGCGGCGCTCGGGTAGCCCCACCCGCGAGCGAGAAACGACCAACTGCCTCTCTGCCTGTGCCTGTGCCGAGGTTGCCGCCACCACCACCACCACCGCCGCCGCGCCTTCCCCCACCCAGTGTTGATGATCAAGCAGCCAACACATCATACATGGGATCTATTTGACAACAAGACAAGCTTCCAGCGCCTCGACACGCCAACAACTCCGATAGATTGACTCATTGTTGATACACCGGCAAGCCAACTTCATCGACACATCGACGGCCGAGAGAGTGAGGAGGCAGCAGCTCGTTCTTTTCCTTCTTCTTTCTTGTTGGTCTCCTTGTCGCAATGTCTTTCCTCGGTGGTGCAGAATGCTCTACCGGCGCCAATCCACTCAACCAATTCACCAAGCACGTACAGGATGACAAGTCGCTACAGCGGGATCGCCTGGTCGGGCGCGGACCTGGCGGGCTCCAGGAGAGCATGCGAAGCCAGCAGATGGGCGGTGGCTCAGACGGTGTAAGTTGTGCTCTCAGTGAGGCCATGTACGGATTTTGGGGGGGGGGGGGTCTATGGTAGCAGAGGACATGATGGATGCTGACGGGACACGGCGCCGCCGCAGATGATGAACGAGTTCATGCAGCAGAATGCACAGCTGTCCCAGGGTGCCGGCCCCGCCTCACCCTTTGCCATGGAGCAGATGCGCAGAGAACTGGAGAGGGCCCAGCATAGCGCCTCGCCCGCCTGGGCAGCAGAGTTCGATCCGGGCATGCAGGCACCCCAGATGGGCCCCGCGATGCAAGAGCGGACCGCAGGCTTCAATCCCGCAGAATTTGCCAAATTCCAGCAGATGAACCCGGCCGCACGCACGGCGAGCCCGACGACGGCGCCCCAACCCTCCATGCAGGGCTATCAGCGGCCCATGTACGGCATGAATGGTATGGGCATGGGCGGCATAGGCGGCATGGGCATGGTGGGCGGTATGGGCATGATGCAACAGCAACCGTACGCGCCCCAGAACTTTCAAGAGCCCATGCAGGACTCGGGCAAGGGCAAGGGCCGCATGGTGGAGCTCGACGACCAGGACTGGGAGGCCCAGTTTGCGCAGCTGGAGCAGACGGACCAGCTCGACACGGAGGCGCTCGACGCCCAGGCGAACAAGGACATCGAGGCCGAGCTCAATGAGCTGGACAGGTCAGTAGCCCAGGAGGCCGTTGATTTTGGCGACTTCGAGTCCGTCTGGAAGGGGATCCAAGCTGAGACTGAATATGCTAGGCAACTGGCCAACGAGGACAACTTTGTCGAAGGGCACGTGGGCGATCTGGACCAGTGGGAGGGCTTCGACGGCTTGAACACGCACTCGGTCCGCGACCCTGCCATGGGCGATTACCTGTTCGAGCAGGAGAACCTGTTCACCAACGTTACCAACCCCTTCGAAGAGGGCATCAAGATCATGGAGGAAGGCGGGAACTTGTCTCTTGCCGCGCTTGCCTTTGAGGCGGCTGTGCAGAAAGACCCAAATCACATCGCCGCCTGGGTAAGACTGGGAGAGTCTCAGGCACAGAATGAGAAGGAAACGCCGGCGATACGCGCCTTGGAGCACGCGCTGAAACAGGACCCCTCCAACCTCGAGGCCCTGATGGGCCTTGCAGTATCCTACACGAACGAGGGCTACGAGAGCACCGCATATCGGACCCTCGAACGATGGCTTGCCACAAAGTATCCCTCCCTCATCAAGGAACCGCTGTCCTCCGACGCCGACATGGGCTTCACTGATCGCCATCTACTTCACGAAAAAGTCACAAACCTGTTCATCGAGGCTGCCCAACTCTCGCCATCTGGTGAACAGATGGATCCGGATGTCCAAGTTGGTCTCGGCGTCTTATTCTACGGTGTAGAAGAGTATGACAAGGCTGTCGACTGCTTCGGCGCCGCGCTCGCCTCCACCGAGTCAGGCGTTTCGAATTCTTCATCACAAGTCCATCTCCTCTGGAACCGACTTGGTGCAACGCTCGCCAACTCGGGTCGAAGCGAGGAAGCCATCGACGCCTACTCACGTGCACTTGCTCTTCGTCCCAACTTTGTGCGCGCACGATACAATCTTGGTGTATCTTGCATCAACATTGGCTGCTTCACGGAAGCGGCCCAGCATTTGCTGGGGGCTCTAGCCATGCACAAGGTTGTGGAGAAGGAAGGCAAGGAAAAGGCCAGGAAAGTCGTCGGTGAGGGAGTGTCGGAAAGTCAGCTTGACAACATGATTCAACAGAATCAGAGTACAAATCTATACGATACGCTGAGACGAGTGTTTGGCCAGATGGGCAGGCGTGACCTGTCAGACATTGTGGGACCGGGTATGGACGTAGAGCGATTTCGAGGAGAGTTTGAGTTTTGAGCGTGTCAAGGATGGAATGCAAATAATTACAGATCGTGTGCAGAAGCCGGAAAAAGGCGATGAGGTTTATGACGATTGGCTTTTAGAAAGAAAGGTCAGGATACGGCAACGGGACAGCCGGGATGAAGGGGAACTAGGGAACAGCTGCTGTTTTGGCACGAAAGTGGTCGATATTAGCATGGACTGTGTTTGGAAGTTGCATGGTGGCATTTGACAAGTTTGTCTACATCAGTCTCGGATCCAGACTGTAATCGTTTTTTGTACACATTTACAGTCTATATATATATATATATATATCCATATATATAAGTAGCATAAATAGTCATCAGACGACGACCGTCTCACCCACATCACATAGTCCAACGTCAATTCCCCACTCCAGCCCTTCTGCCTCCACCCCCTTCCTCCAACGCTCACTCGGCTCGGTGACGGGCTCAAAGCTTGCCGAATAGGAGCCCCGAAAGGTGCCGTAATGCATGCCTATACTTCTTTTACTTCTCACATCCTTGTGAATACTAAGTGAGTCTTCTGGACTACAGTGTTGATTTGAGAGGACGGAGCGTGGTTTGAAACATCCAATGGGCAATAGCGCAAGATCAAAAGGGCCGTAGAGTTGTCCTATGTCTTTAAAGGCAGGACATGATGGGTGAGGACTATGGTGATGGGAGAATTGAGCGTCGGAATCCACAGCGCAATAGCCCGTATCGCCCGCAAAGAAGAGCCGTTTGCGAGTGTCCATGTCTTGAACTCCATCTTTTCTTTTGTCGGCATCTGTGTCTGTGGAAGGAGCTGGGGATTGGATGACCCAACTGCACCATAGCGTGCTGTCGAACCCCCAAGGCGTTCGTCCAGATCGGTGTTGGGCAGGCGTACAAATGACCTGTGCAGCAGCCACTCCCTCCTTTTCCATGGTAAATCCATGCCACCAGTCCATATCCTCGACTTGGTTTGCTCTGATACCCACACCCAGGCCTGTCAATACAGCTTTGACGCCCAATCCGCAAAAGAAGCGCAAGTCACCGTTTTGCTTGGCCATGAGTTGCTTGAGGGTTGCCGAGTCAAGATGATCGTAGTGATCATGCGAGATGAGTACTGCGTCAATCTCTGGCAAGTCGTCGATAGTGCAGGGCGGTGGTGTAAACCGGACGGGACCGACGAGGTTATATGGCCCTACGCGCTCGCTCCAGACGGGGTCGAGCAAAAGGCGCATACCCCGCTCCCCGGGTTGTGAGGCAGGAGTCTCGATGAAGAAAGAAGCATGGCCGATCCATATTACCTTGAAACTATTCTTTTGCTGCCGTGATGTTGAGGTAGGAGTGAAGTCAGGTCTCCGTACGCCAACGAGTCCCGCGCGATCACTGGGCACAGGAACAAAGTTTTTGGTCGTGTTATGAAAGCGGCCACGGAATGCAGATATGATACCAGAAGACTTGTACGACGGCCATGGGTTCCGAAAGCTGGTTGGTGGGTTGTCTATGTGATGGGCTGTTGTGTATCCGTCAGGTTGGAGTTGGGCCAGGGCGGAGATGCGGGAGCTCGGATTTGACATTAGGCAGTCTTCCATTTCCTCTCTCTCTCTCTCTTTCTCTTTTTTCTCTTTTTTCTCTTTTTTCTCTTTTTTCTCTTTTTTCTCTTTTTTCTCTTTTTTCTCTTTTTTCTCTTTTTTCTCTTTTTTCTCTTTTTTCTCTTTTTTCTCTTTTTTCTCTTTTTTCTCTTTTTTCTCTTCTCTTTTTAAATGTTGAACTAATTAGCCAGTAGGGATTGTTCAGCGTGAAGATTAATCTCCCACAGCAGTAGGCTAGGAGTAGCCAATGTAGTCCCACTTGGTCATGTGCACATGCGCGAAACGGCATTCCCATTCGTCCAATGGCGCTCTCGCGTAGAGGTAGGTAGCAACTATTCTTCTTTTCCAATTCCAATTCCAATTCCTCTCTTCTCTCGCCTAACTAAATACCTATTAGCTAGGTGACTAACTACGGTCCTGTTCATATCTTCGCGCCATCCACCCAATCATCCGACCAATCGACACACGTGAGCATGTCTCTAGCTAAACATGCGGCTCCTTTGTGCGTCGCCGCCGAAGCGCACCCTCAAGCCAGGGGTTTGGTTCTGCTACCTGCCCGATAAGGCCAAGAGGCCGTGTGGCTCGCCATTTGGTCTGGAAAATTTCGACCAAGTTATAATTCCTGGTTCCCGGGATTTTGGGCGGGAGCCTCAGCTCTCCTCCCTCTTTAAGAACGACGACTACACTGAGCTCTGCGACCATTGAACAAAGATGAGACAGTTCGTCATCAGTGCGAGTGCAGCATGGCTGCTTGCCTCTACTACGCAGGCACAGCTTTATCCCAACCAGAGCCCATTGAACCACACGTGTCAATTGCAGAAGCCAACCTTGTCTTGCCCAGAGCAAGATCCCTCTCAAGTTGATTCTTGCTGTGTGGAAACCTTCGGTGGTTTGCTGCTTTCAACTCAATTCTGGAATACTCAAACTGGTCTCGAGTCCAAAGGACAGGTACTCCCAACAGATACATGGACACTCCACGGCCTGTGGTAAGAATACCTCTCTTGGAGAAAAATCTGTTACCGTATCTCAAACTGCCATAGGCCCGACTTCTGCAACGGCTCATACACCCAATACTGTGACCTAACGCGGCAATACGACCCCGTCCCCTCCCCCAACACCACCACCGGTCTGCCCAACGGGACCTTCGTAACCCCCTACACCGGCCCTGACATTGGCACCTTCCTTGAGCCCTTTGGCCGCTATGACCTACTCTCGTACATGAATACTTACTGGGTTGCCCAAAACCAGCCCAACCCGGACTTTTGGGCCCATGAATTTAGCAAACATGCTACCTGTTTTTCCACCTTCAATCTGCCTTGTTATGGACCACTGTATCGTCAGCACGAGGAGGTTGTGGATTTCTTTGAGACTACAATCAAGTACTATCAACGATTCCCCACCTTTGATTGGTTGGCCGCAAAGAATATCAAGCCTTCCAACTCTACAACATACACGTACTCTAGTATGCGCGATGTGCTGTTTGAACAACACGGTGGAATTCCTTTCTTGGGCTGCTCAGGTCCACGCTTCAATACCACTGCTGCTGGCAGGAACTCCACGGATAATGGCTACACTGTATTAACCGAGGTCTGGTACTACGAACATGTAAGCTGGGCCATGATAGAATGATGACGAGAGTAATAGCGGCTGACTTACCACTCCCAGGTCTATGGCCGTCCTCAAGAGGGAAGAACAGTGCCAGTCAACGCATCGTCGACTTATCTAACAAACTGTGCGAAGACAGCGGGTGCCATTCATTATTACGAGCGTGCGAACGGATCCGAGAAGGATCCTCGTATGCCATTCTAGATTCATGGGCACACAAAAATAAACGGCAGACGGATTTCATAGACTATGTGATGGCCAATTAAAACTATAGTCGATTAGAAGTATGCGCTCGTGGGCAACTATTGCACCATTCACGCCGCAATACTAGAACCAATCTTGCACAACAGCCTCATCGCATTGGACATTGGCCGGGTGCGTATAGAATATGAAACGAGTGTAGAGAGTATGGAAGATGGTCCACACCTGGTCTACACGCCCTGGTAATGCCCTCAAGGAATTTACAACTTTTGATATGAAAGTGAAGTGGCGCTAATGCCAGGGTTTTCTTTGCTCGCTCGATCTCCAGGCTGCACCAAATGCTTGGCCTACAAAATATCCTGACTATGAGTGTATGCAAGCCAGATGATCGTTTAGGATGCATCAGTCGACTGGGTCTCCGGAATGGCCGGATTATTCTGACTCTCCGAACGGCTTGTAGGTGACCCACTAGCCGCTGTCCTCTGTGCCTCTAGCGTCTGCACCTGAATACCAGGGCTACTATCCCTCGGGGTTGTTTCGGCGCGCACCTCCTCCTCGTGTGGGCTTTGCGTGTCGGCAATGGGATGGGACTCGACATGCTCGCTCTTGATCTGCAGCGAAGATTTGGCGGTAGATCGAGTGGTCTGGGCCCGCGAATGAATGGTATCCTCGTGGCCCTTGTCAAAAAGCTCGCGCGTATAGTCATGCTGTAACCGCGATTCATCTACCCCGCGCGGAAACATTTTACCCATGATTGCATCATGCTTAGACTTTGCAGTCTCCAAGGCTCCACGGCCACTTGGACTGGGCGTCTCGGTCGCCTGTGTCGATGCATGGTCTTGAAGATGGGTGGGCGTCCCAGAGGGCGACGACTCACTCTCTCCCTCTCGTCGCGCATGCACCTTACGCAGGTTCGCTGCTGATGACTGAGAGCGCATATCCGGGCGACCATCTTTGCGGATCAGTATGCCATCAGCATTCCGAACAGGTTTAGTTCGAGTCTTCTTTCCGACCTCGTACGTCTCACCACCAGACTCGACGCCAATGGCAAGAGTCCCACTAATGGTCATCGCACGATCGGTGGAAGGCGTATAGCCACGACGAGTACTGCCTCCGCCACCTCCGGTACCGCGGCGTGCGATACCAGGCGTTCCACGCACAGCATGATTGTAGAACCCATCAGTAAGAGTCTGTGACTCTGACGCACCACGCCAGTCCTCGCGTTCCCAATCTGGACTGTGGAACTGGACTGGCATACTCTTTCTGACCCTTCCGCCGCGACTTCCGGGTCCCCCGCCTCTTCCTCTGTCACGAGGACGGTGTTCTACATCTCGCTGAGAGGCTGCTCTCCAACTGTCATCTTGGGGGTAATCGTGTGTACCGAATGGTGCATTCGAGGGTGGCTGTGACTGAGTACTGACAACTGACCCATTCAAGCGTGGCTGTGAGGGTAATGGGTGTACAGGCGGCATAAACTGAGACTGAGAATCTTGGGCAGGTGTATGAGATGCTAGCGTAGAGCTGACGAAAGACGGAGCCGACTCGGTGGTTAATCTTTGTCGCTTGGCCGAACTAGGAATTTGTGCATGAATATTGTACAGGTTATCCACTTCAGTCCCATGGCTGCGCTTGACACCGGAATTTACGGCTGCCCATCCACTGTTTTGGCTAGGTACATGATCATGATGTAGGGTGGTCTCAGGCGTCGTCGTCGTTGTCGTCGCGTGCGTCGTGAAAGGATGGTGCGGCTGCAACTCTGGGGATGGCTGCGCAGAAGTGGGTTCGCGTAGATTTACAGGCTGTAGAACAGGTCCAGGACCGGAAGGTTTACGGTCCGTTTCTTCTAGGCGTTGGATCTTGTTCTTCATGATCTCAATTGTGATTTTAAGCATATCCACCTCGTTTGCCTTTTGTGTAGTGATTAATAATTGCTGAGCCATCAGTTCGATAGCCGAATCTTGCCCGCTCGCTTGTTGTGCTGATGGTGCCCCTGGATGTTGTTGCGGGTGGCCTTCAGCCCTACTAACGTTTAATTCATGCTTCAAACTCTCCAGAACCTGCCGCATCGCCTGTATTTCGTGTGATAATCTCACTACTGCGCCGTCAACACGCTGCAGCTCTCCGCTCTGAAAGGCTATCTGGCTGCTGAATTCGCGACGCAGTGTTTCTCCAAGGTAAACATGAGACTCTTCCCCGCGTCTGATATCACGGGTATGGGCGGCAAGAGCACCGCTATTCTGAGAGATCTGAGTCTGCAGTCGCTGGATCGCGTCAAGGCTGACCTCTGGCGGTGAACGAGGATAGGGCTGATGTTGCGACTTGCGAGATTCGTAGGGAGAGTGTTTCATAGTCCCGTCTGGCGCATGTGCATGCGTAGCAGTGAGTGGTGCACTCACAGGGGCAGTGAATGAACCATTCTTATAGTTCCTCTTCTCGACAGTCGGCTGAGTCAGCTGTGGCGGTGTTTCCCCTTGGTGATTCTGGGCTTTTGATCTGCTGTTGGGCCGAGCTGTGGATGTCTGGGGAGAACGTGCAGCTGTTGATATAGACAGCCGTCTGTTGTTGTCGCGGTGTTGCACCATGGCTTGTTCATAGGTAAGATCCCGGTGAGATTCTTGGTGGGCATGTTGATAACCCTGTCTGGGTGGAAGTGAGTCCATTGCAACGCCTGCCATGAATGTGGCCAATGCTGACGGTTCCGGTGTAGGTGAGGGGCTGAAAGAATCCTCAGTCTTCAGGAGATCTTTCGATGTGTGCTCCAAAGGCTTTACAATGATAACTTGGGTTGGCGACAACTCGCATCTCAGTTCGATGCGGCTGAGCTTGAAGAAATCTCGGTCGCTGTCCACACATCAGATTTCAGGAAGTTTGGTCTCAAAGGAATATGGCGTGTAGGAGAGAGGACAGAAGGACGAGGGATTTAAAGGGGAGGCATGGACGAACTCGTGCCAACAAGTACCCCAACCAAGACTACAGTGCCGATCGCCAGGTTTATGACGACGGCTAAAGACTGAAAACAGGTGCAGAGGGAGAAGTCGATGAGATTACCTACCGATAGTGCCGTTTACCAGGAGGCGCATCTACTACGGAAAACCCAAATGGCGATTCAGTGCAGAGCGCTGGACAGCAAACGGGCTGTATTGTGCTTGGTAAAGAGTCAGCGATGTGAAGTAATGCGCGAGCAGCGGCGGGCGGGTTTAATAGATGATAAGGTTATAGCGTAGGAATTAATAGGCCAAACTAGCGCGAGTGCGCTTAAAGAAAAATTAAAATGCCATGTACCTCTGATTGGTACCGGGATAAGACCCTATACTAGGCAGATATTGATAGCTTACTGGAACGGGAATTGTGCGACGAGAACGGGCGGACAGCGTGAAACGTAAAGGCGAGCTTACCATCCTTCAAGATCTGTACCCCTGGCCGCTGCCTGTTGCCTGCCACTGTTGACCAAGAGGCTTCGGTAAGATCCGCGCAGGGCAGGGACATAGTACTAAAAGCAAGTCGATTACATCAGTCCTCGTTGCCTCTGCACACCCGACGGCTGTCTGTCTCTTGTCACTTACGCTGCCAGTGATCCTGCACCAGGAATTATAGAACTCGCCCAGGTAACGGTTGCACTTCTGACAGTACCCTTTCGTCGAGCGATTGTCCGCTGGAGCCGGGATAGGGACGTCTTCTATGCGCTCAACAGGATTCGCCCCCATGGACACCACGTCGGCCTGCACATGGACGGTGACTTTTGGCGGCGTCTGGACGGACACGCACTCGTGCTCAGGTGAAGGAGAAGCGCCTGCAGGGAAGCGCTGTTCCGTGGCTGCCATATGTCACAACAAGGCACGAGTCTCCTACGCGTAATGGCTCCTGTTCCAGCGTACTCGAGAATGATGAACGGGAAACGGGCCGAGTTCTGGTGCGATTGAGTATGAAGCAAAGTCTGTTTTCTCCTTCCTTGGGCGCTAGGAGTGGGGAGGGGGTGTGTGTGTTAAGGTAAGCGTGAGGTGTAATCGCGTAAATTAATTATCTAGGGGGACCCAGAAGAAGCGCTTCCCCTGCGAATTGCCACCGCGATTTGAATGAAGGTGAATGGATGATGGAAGGCAGACAAAAGGGCAAAAACAGCTGGGGAGGCGGTGGGGGGGGGGAAAGGGTTGTTCACTCGAGATTAGAAAAAGGGCGATGGCGTAACATTGAAAAGGGCAAAAAAAGGAAAGCATGTAATTTAGCAGGAACCATTCCAGGTTGAGCGGTTCAGGCTTCCTGTTGAAGCCTAGCGTCCAACGCTACAGAAGCTTTGCATCCATTGTTTGGTTTTGCATCCTTGCTATATCCTCTACAATACCCCCAGCGGCCCCGATTCATCATGTAATATACTTTTGTTCGGAGCTGCCTTTGTCTGCGGCCATGTACGTATGTACTATGGTACTACTCTGCATATTGTGCCGGGAGGCCCAACAACGTCTCCTAATCCTAATCCTAATAGTAGGTAATACCAACACTTGGCTATGATGCTAACGTGAACCTAATTACGACGCGCTTACGGAGTACCACCACCCACCCACCCGAACCAAGAAGTCCATTCAAATCTTGCCAACCCACCTACTCTGTGTACATGACATGACCGTCTGCCTACTTTACTTTGCTAACCCAGCCCATGGCAACCGTAGCTCTGTTCGTCCCACCACGATTGCCCGCTAAATCAACAGTGACGATGACACACCATTTGCACAGCCAGATCATGTGCCATAGCAACAAAAAAAGCCTTTCGTAATCACAAATACGGTAAGGGTGCCCCGAGCATGAAGCGGCCAAGCGCTTGCATCCTTGGATTCAGCTATTCCCTCCCCCTCCCCCCCACAAGGACAATAGATGGTATGTATAGCGGAGCCGTCTTCCCCTTGTTACGGACCACGAGTCTACAGTATATTGTTATATACTATACATACTATATCATGCGCTTCGATAGCACATGTACATAGGTAGCCTGTGACAAGCCTGTCTGCTCTAGAGTCTGTTTAATTTCCTCTTGACGCCAGTCTACTGCATAATCCAACCGGCTAATAGCTGCTGAACGCTTGATTCCGCACAACATGAGACAGTGCATGCGCCCAGACCAGCACATCATTGTTTCTAGAACCCAGCACATGATGCGAATCCATCCTTTGTCCATGCCGTGATTCGCCCGTTGTCTGTCGACAACATGAGATCTTGTGTCGTGCTTTTCATTGCAGGAGCGCCCATGGACTCACGAGCAATTAGCAAAGGCGGGACCCCTCCCACGCCTGTCCTGTTTACTTTACCGCAATCAAAGCAATCCCGTTGCGCGCGTCCTGACAAGCGCGCGATAATGCCTGTATTTCGGTATCAGTCCATTTGACACTGAGATTATCCCAATTCTTAGTAGCGTATTCCCGACGATATTGCTGTTGCATTGCCTGTAACCGGCGCATCTCTCGTGGATCGCTGGTTCCGCTGTATACGATAAAGGCAGTGCAGCGCGGCAAGGATTCGTAAATCCGGCCAATGCGCTTGACAGTGTGCGAGACAATCTCGCTGAGCTGCGCATCTTCAGCGTGCTCACTGCCCTCCTCACCATCGGTCGTCGGTCCAAGTCGTTGTATACCATCCAGACGAATGGCTTCAACGTCAGCTGTCTTGGCATCATCCCACCAGCCTCGTTTGAGTTCGAGTTCGCGCAGGCGTCCCCAGAGGAAATCGGCCCCATCAGCAGCGCCGTCTTGATCCTCAGCTCGGCCAAGCATCACACGGCTGATGCCCTCCACCACCTCATCGTCGGTTCTACACCCCACCGACATTTGCGCTTGGCCGCCGTGACCGCGCCTTGGTTCACCCCAATCTACCACAGCACCAGATCGATGCATTTCATTCGAATGGGGCCGTATGGCGCGCTCAAGTCGCTTGAATATGGATTCAGCATTGGTATCACCCGATCCCCAGCGTGGGCCCTTTTCGCACTTCTGCTTGACCAAGTCGAGACAGGTGCGAGCGTCCTCGACACTGTCATGCCCACTCGCACCTTTCTGAACTTCACGCTTGAGATACTTCTGTGCAAGCCACTTCAGCGATTGCTTATACGGTGGCCCGCGCGGATGCGGGTAGAGAATCCCTGTATCAACCAAGAAAGGATGGGTAAGCTTCATTGCGGTGAGATCTGAGTTCAGCGAGTGTCCCACGAGGATTGTACGTGGAGTGATGAGCTTCAGCAGTTCCTTCTGTATTTCCGACAGTGTGGTGGTGACATCTTGTAGCATGGCCGCAGTTATGCCCGACCACTGGGTTAGATAATCCTTGATAGCCACTTCGGGCTTGACAAGCTTATCCAGAACTACGGTACCCTCCCAGTTCATTAGGCTGATTCGGGTGAGGACAAGCTGATCGTCTTCGGCCTTGCACATTTCGCAGTCGATGGAAAGAACATGTCTCCCTGCCGTGAGACTACCATGCTCGATCTGCTCTTCCGGCACTTCTCCGTCTTCCAGTTTATCCACATTAGTGTCTACCCAACCGTCTTTCACGCTTTGCTTATGCTGCTCCCTTTGTTTACGGGCGGCCTCTTTTGCCTCTGCGGTGACGAACATGGCTGGATGCAGGACGAAGTCATTCTCCTGTTGGTCGACAAGCGTGGCCAAATACTCGGTGATTCGTGTGCGCTTGTTCTCCCAGTGTTTTGCATTTTGAGGCATGGGCCCTTTGTGCGTGCCACTCTTCTTCAACTGCTTTTCTTCTTGGGTCTTTGGTATTTGTGAGGTTAGCATGGTGTGGATGGGCGAGTGCACTCTGGTGTACTGATTGTTACGATGCTCTCCAGGAGTCTTGATGGGCCATACGTGGTCGAATATTTCGGCTAGAGGCTTCAAACATGTTGGCAGCCGGTCGGGCCGCAGACTAGCCGGATAGAAGTCATCAGGAGTGATGTTCAAATGCTTGCGCTGCACAGTCTGCTCATCCGCGGCTGTGGCATCGGACTTGATGTCCTGGGCGTCTGCTTCGCCTCTGGGGCTAGATGAGGGTACAGGCTCAAGAGATACGGTGCCATTGAACATGCCAATCTCCAGTCCCGGCACCAAGAGCATGACAACCCGCTGAATGCTAGCGCGACTACGCACTGAGACCCACTGCGGCGCATTCCCATCCGCAAGCAGATAAAGCACGAGCGTTTGCAGATCCCCCAGTTTCACATGCGATTGCAAGCGAGCATGAGGTGAATGCTGGATGGCTGGATAGCTCCGCCGTAGCTTGCGCTCCGTTCGGCGCTCCGTTCGGCGCTCATCAGGCTGCTCAGAGCCCGACTTGTGTGTAGCAATGTTGTCCTCATCTTCTTCATCGTCAGCATCTATGGGCACCTCGACGCTGTCGGACTGTCGCCGCAGGTTGCGGTTGGGTGAGAAAGATGTCGAACGACGGTGGCCATGATTGCTGCGTTGAGCCTTGCCCGCCCGCCGTCTTCGCTTCGAGGGGCCGACTACCTCCCAGTCGCCTCCCTCTCTATTCTTGTCGGCGGCGGCGGTCGTGTCTGGCAACTGCTCTCCTCGCAGGTGCGCCAATGTCGCGCCGAGGCCCACGTCGATGGGCGGTTGGTCGCGGTCGCGGTCGCCTCGCTTTCGCTTTGACATTTCGGAGGCACTATCTGGCGGGCGGGTGCGGTGAGGGTGAAAAGGGCTCAAGGCTCGGGCGTGACAGACGGGCGAGAATTGAACTTTGAAGCTCGAGAATTTATTCCAGTCGGCTCTCTGACATAACCGTAGCGGTGGTAGTAGGTAGGTGCCTCCCCTTAGCGCCGCGCTAACTCTGCCGGTGGCCTCCCTCGCCAGCACTCTCTCATAGTGATACTCTGCTCTCACGATGTCATCTTCTCCGCTCCCGGCATCTCAACGTCCACTAGCCGTATCCATCAAGAGAGGCTAATGAGTAGGAAAATAAAGTTATTGAAGCAATACATTACTCCCAAGCAATTGGCAAACTTTGTTATCAAGTCACGCCGAGTCTAGGTCAGAATTGCTACCGAAGAAAGATTAAAATCGCCTTCATTCCTATATGAGTGAAGGCTAAGTGAAGATTAGACGTAACACATTGATAGTCTTCTGAACTTTGATTGATTGAAGCATCATTGCTCTACACCAGGTTTCTCCAGTTCAATAGAAATACAGAGTGCATATCTACCTATACATGCATGTACAAAATCTCTGAAATTGCCTCACTCCGAAGTATAGACTATGTGCCACCCCATGTGGGCATCATACAACAGACAGTCATTTGATGCGTTACTGCAACATCGCACTCAGACAGACGCAAACCTTCGAAGACACTGGAATGTTCACCTTACTCACCAGTATCACTATGCACAATCTTGCATCATCTTGTATCTTGTGTTCTTGTATCATCCTCACAGGCAAAACATGCTCCTTGCTTGATTGCTTCCTGGGTTCATCCGCTATGTACTTTGCCACTATAATTGCGATACTTAGAACGATCGATCGATCGGATGCACTCGCGAGTGCATGCTGTTATGACAGGTCAGACAGCCTCTCATGTACGTCTTGCTCTCGCCATGAATGTCGTCCAGGAAAAGTTGATATAGTCAGTACACTTAACAATACATGTGAGGCTGGCTCCTCTCAGGTTGACGTGCGGAACACATCGAGCTACCCAGGCTGCCTCTTCGTCCACTGTTTCACAGCTTTCCTCTTCTACTGTCCACAGCGTCTCTGAGCTTTTGAATCACCTCACCAGGATCCGAGGCGCCGAAGACAGCGCTACCAGCAACGATCACGTTGGCGCCAGCGTTCGCAGCCTGATCGATGGTCTTCTCGCTCAAGCCACCATCAACCTCGATGTGCAGTTCGGGGTATTTCTGCCGCAGCGCTGTGACCTTGGGAAGCTCTGAAGCCATGAAGGACTGGCCACCAAAGCCAGGTTCAACAGTCATGACCAAGACCATCTGCCAGAGTTAGCATGTGTCTGGTCAAACTGCATGAGCTGGCAGAAGTCGGCCAACTTGAGCGGAAATGGCTGAGTTGACTGAGTTTCACACTTTCACAAGCTGTGGGTCGTCGTAAACGGACCAGGCCTATGCCTATGCATCATTTGGCTCGCTGCTTAAGCGCCTTGAGGAGAAGCCGCTCAAGCAACGTCACTTGAATCGGAAGTAACTCACATCAGGTACCTCTTCCTTGACAGGGTTTGCTAGGATGTCCCACAGCACGTCGACAGGAGTACTAGGCTTGATAGCAATGCCAGCTTGCATGCCTTCGTTGTGGATATACCGTATGAGTTCTTTGGGCGATGTCTTCCGGTCCGACTTTCCGCTTGGGGACTCTGCGGCCGTCGAGGAGATGGCCGCCTCATAATGGAAACAGTACAAATCACAGCCTGCTTTTTTGAAGTCGCGCACCCACTTCTTGGGCTCGGCAATCATCATATGGCAGTCAAACGTCCCTCTCCCGTGTGCGGTGAGCGGGCGATCAACGTGAGAGCGGATCTTGGTTACAACAGGTGCACCAAAAGTCATGTTGGGCACAAAATGGCCGTCCATGATGTCGACCTGCACGCGTCAGTCACGGGTTCCGTGAATGAGACGGGCGGGTGCAGAAAGCACACATGAAGCCAGTCGGCGCCTTGGGCCATGGTGTCAGAGCACGCTTTGCCCAGGGCTCCAAAGTCGGCCGACAGAATCGACGGCGCGATGATAGCGGGCGGTGACATGGCGGTTAGCTGTTTCTTGAGGAAGAAGTGCGGTGTGTTTGGGGAGTGTGGTTGTAGGTCGGATTGGCGCCAACGACGAATGGCTGGAAGCTCGTGATAATCAAGTCTGGTGTTGTACTCTAGATGGGTGGGTGATACTGCCCCTCCAAGCCCCGCGCCATGCTTGGCACACCGTACCGCTACCCCTTCCTTTCCTTCACAGATGCCGGGTGCTCCCAGCCCATCACCACCACCGTGGACGTCAGTTCACTTCTTCGGTGCACGAATGCTCCCGTGTGCTGGCTGGCAACCCACCAAATTAGAGTTGCAGGTACCGTACACTCTGTCACTCTGTGACATTCGTTGTTATACTCGTTGTTTTTGTTGTTGTCTCGGTTTCCTGATCCATACCGGTACTCTACCGGTATTTTATCCCCTCTCCACCTCCCTCCTCTCACACCCTTGCTCTCTCTCCTCTCTCTCTCTCTCCACGCTCACGCTCCATGGGTCCATTCGACCAACTTCTCGAAGCGGAGCACCCAGTTCGATAAGGCGACGCGCCGCTACGGTTATTCACAGGGCGAACATGCTGTACTTTGCTGCTGCGTTGTCGGATTGGCCAACCGTGCAGAAGACAGACCCCCGAAATAGCACAGCCGGGCGCTTACACTACCCACACCCCCCAGCCTTCATGTGTAGCGCAACCTCCCTCTAGTCACAATCAAGCAGCGCGTGGTAACCATCTTGCCCGCTGCAAGGACCCACGAGCCAACCACGATGTTTCTCTGATGGTCGGCATGCCGTGGCCATACCTTGCCGCTATCAACTCCCCACCTCGCCTCGGCCCTCTTTCGCCAGTGGCCAAACTGCTGGCAATGCAGGTCCCCAAAGTGCCACGGTAGCACTAGCCTGGGTTGAGTTGACAAGTAGGCGTCTAGATGCGATATATCCTCTTGTTGCTGCGCTCGAGATGCCATCTCGCCCTTTTCCGCCATTCACTTCTTATCTCCCTTCCGAGTTTCTCTCTGCCCCCAAGTCTTCGTTGATCGAAGCATTTCATTTTTACGAGTAAGCTGTTGACCAGCGCCTCTTTGGGTTATTATCCAGCTTAATATCGCTTCCATTCACTACCCTGTATACATCTGCGTTCAGATCAGACTACCACGCCGCATCCCCAACACCTCGGATTTCAAAATACTCTTAGTAATAATAGCATAGGGCTGTGCTCACCTCAGCTCAATATACCATTATGCCAGAGTTACTTCATACTGCAGGACACCAATCTGCAGCACTTGGCATGGTAAACCCCCGCTATGCTGCGTCTCCGCTGGTTCAGAGACCAGCGCTTAATGTCACTGATGACGACGACGACACCATCGCCGCCTACTACTTCGCACCACACTATTCCTCTACTTCCACAGATCTTTCCAACTCAATGTCCTCAGAGAATATGGACGACTTCCCGACACCGAAAGCACGCTTATTCGACATGACGGCCCACGTCTCACCCGGCTTCCCTGTGCAGTCAGCGACTGGTCCCATGTCGCAAAGGGCTAGTCGCACAGATAGTGACTTCGATTCATTATACGACATGTCCGAAGACGAAGCAGAAGTACCTCTTCATGCTTCAGCGTCTGTTAAGAAGTTTGCCACCCGACCGAGGAGAGCCCATTATCCGTCAATTGTTATTCCATCACCTTCAGCTTGGCCTACGATCGAGAAGCTAAAGAGTGCGACATCTGCGGTACCCGTCACTACTACGCCTTTACTAACCCCGTCCCGTCGCTTTCTTGAGATGATTGATTCACACAACCTGCAGGTGCCTGAACGGTCCGCAGCACCATCCTTGGACGGTAGTCTAACATCAGAAGAGATGGACAAACTCAGTTGTCCGGCAACTCCCGATGTATTGCGGCGACGCGGATCCTTCTCGAGCATCGATTCTTGGGGACCAATGCAGCTTGACATGCAGGCCATGGAAACGCTTCAACATCTGGGTAATTCGCCTTGCACGGAACAAGACGAGCTACAGACACAGCCAGTTGCTGATAGAAGAGGGGAGATGCAAGAGTTGCCCCGCCCGAATCTCCAGCTCCAGATTCCAACGGCCGTCTTCGGAAACGGATCTTCTGGCAGCACCCCTGTTTCGATCCTTTCCATTCCATCTCCAGGAGGGTTTTTCTCCTCACTCCAATCGAATGCCCGTCACACTTGGAGCATGTCTAAAAGGGAAGATTCAATACCAAACACCTCAACAGCCGAAAATTTCTACAATCTCCCATGGGACAACCGCAAGGAGGTTTCGTCAGAACCAGTTCCAAAAATACCACAACGATTGTCTACGCTAGCAGGATCGACTCTCGATGGCTTCGACGAGCCTCTGGCGACGGCACGACCCGTTATCCTCAGTCCCGTGGAAGAGAATGTTGAAATCAGGGAAATCAAGCCAAGCAAAACCATTTTCCAATACAACGAGAATTACAACGCCGAGCTTGAGAAAGTGTCATGCGTCAACCTCGAGATGACAGGCCGCTGGTTGGAAGAGCAGGATGAGCTACAGGCCGCTCTACGTACTATGAAGAACGTGAGCTCGCCCAGGCTTTCCGGTGGCACTCACAGCCGCGGAAACTCACTCGAAAAGCTTGCCGTCAAGAAGTCTGTCAAGTTCGCCGAAGAACCAAACAAGTCGCCAGCCCACGACGAGTCGGCACCAAAGCAGATAATGACCTACGTTCAAGGCCTTGAGTATCTCCGTTCCCGGTCTCAGAAGAAGGACACCTTCATCCACCGTCAGACTCGCGCTGAGGCAATGCACGTACAGCGCCGATGCAGTCCTCTTGCACACCGCAATCAACTCCTTGGTAAGTTCGAGCTTAATCAGCCGGAACGCCCGGCGCCACCGCGTCCTGTGTCCGAATTCTTCGTCAATGACCCAACCGTACTTAAGGAGAGGATTGCGCGTGCACAGATGGAGCGCCAGGCGCTCGACCAAATGCTTCCGATTCACTGGGTACTGCAAGCACAGAAAAAACTCAACGGTGGAAAGCTATTAAGCAAACCCGCTGCACGATGTGTTGCGCGTGCCGATACACCACGCATCCTTGACGTCGGCGGCGTGCCTACGAATGACTGGGCCTGGGATGTTGCATATGATTATCCCAACGCTACAGTGACTACCGTCTACACCGCGGGCAGCAACTTGTCAACCAATGTCGCAGGGCCAGACAATCACAAGAACCTTGCAGTTCCCAACCTGTGGACTCTTCCCTTTCCCTCCAACCACTTCGACGTCATCTCCGCGCGGACACTTCATGAGCTCTTGAAGACTCGCAAGCCCGTAGGTCGCTCCTCAGATGAGTATGATCTCTGCCTCAAGGAGTGTAACAGGTGCCTTAAGTCCGGTGGCATCTTGGATTTCTCTCTCATGGACGCTGATATGGTTCACGCTGGTCGCAACGCCCAGGCCATGGGCGTTGAGTTTGGCTTCAATCTGAAGACCAGGGGCTATGATGCGCAAGCCACAAAGACCTTTCTGCCTCGTCTCTCAAAGGCTGGCTTCAAGAAGGTACAAAGGGCGTGGATTATTCTGCCTATGGGCAAGACAGCGGCGAATTGGAAAGAGAACCTTGCCGTGGGCGCTGAGCCAAATATTCAGGAGAGGAGAATTACTGATGACGGATCGATCGAACTTGACACTGCGCCAGTATATGGCAGCACAATGGATGCAGCGATGATGACAGGTATCGTAGGTAGTTGGACGTGGGAGAGGTGGCTGTTGAAGCTGCAGCTAGAGATGGGCAAAGAAGAAGAGAAGCTTCTGGAGGGTGTTGTTCAGGTTCTAGAGGAGGGTGCTCAGGGAGGTGCTGGATGGAGGACGCTCACAGGGTGGGCGAGGAAGCACTGAAAGGGCGGCATAAGCACTCGGTGGTAGGTTCCTTCTGAAATTGGATTGATATTGGCTGGCATAGTAGACTTCCAGAGATACCTTTATACCAAGTAGCATGTTGGAGTGTTCGCAGCTCACTTGCAAACATGACATAGTCAGTAAGCATGGCCTTCGCTTATGTGACGTGCACTACGTCTCATCTCACGGCTACCTCCAAGGGATCGCAGCTACGGGTGGTGAAGGGGCACTTCACGTGAGGCCACGGTCCAGAACAGGCGCGCGAACCCCACGCGGTCCAAGCACCCACTAACGTTCCCCAACTCCCGACATCACACACCTTGTGCAGCGCAATCCATCAGTACCAATAACGGCCTTCCTCTTCTCTTCCTTCCGTTTACTCCATCTCAGCAATAATCATGCTGTTCTTCAGGTTCGCACCACCTTGCCGCAAGTGAACAAAGGGAGCATACGCCTAACATCACCCTCCTACACACAGTTTCTTCAAAACGCTCGTCGAGCACGAAATCACCGTCGAACTGAAAAACGAAGTCCAAATCCGCGGTACATTGAAGAGCGTAGACCAGTATCTGAACATCAAGCTGGACAATGCGGAGGCTGTAGATGAGATGCGCTGGCCGCATCTGGTGCGTCCTCTCCCTCGCCCCCACTGTACCCACTTTCCCTTCTCATGGATTCTGCGCGTGTTTTGAGAAGAGTAGATGGGCTAAAGAGACGAAATGTAGTGCTCAACCAAGGACATGTTCATCCGCGGCTCGGTCGTCCGATACGTACATTTACCCTCTGGCGCGGTGGACACGGCGTTGTTGGAGGACGCAACGAGGCGGGAGGCCGAGGCGGCGAAGAACAAGGCGAAGTGAGGGGTCGGTCTGTCTGGCTTATGGAGATTTTCTTTTGGGCTGCAAGGTGAGGGGATGGGTATAGCTACAAAAGTGGCATGAAGGAAAGAGAGAAAGGTCGCACGACACCACAGATGTCTTGAAGGAGTGTACGCACCGCGCGCTGGCAATGAACGCGCAGTATGTGGTAGCAAACACGTGGAGGACTTGACGCTTGAATACGACCATCACACACACGATACCCAGAGACCGCGAATGGAGATGGAGGCTCGATACCAGTCAAGAACAATCGGCTGTTTCAGACATCTCTGCTTAATGCGATATACAAATCTTGTCCCACATGTGAAGCTCTCCCAACTACCAACTACATACTAAACACGCCCAGAAGATCATTCTCTCTTAGTGCGCCGCACTCTCTGAGAAAAGTTACGGCATCCATGACGCTATTTTCAAGGCATACATTCACGACTTTGGGATGGTTGGCGGCTCGGCATGTGCTTTCATTCGGTTCTATTGGGAAGTTTTCTTCCGACACAGATGCCGCCTCTCTACGACTTGTTTACAACTACCATCATACCAGAGTGGTGGTATACAACACCATCAACAAATCAGCATAAAAGGACGTATTGGTACGCACATAGTAGACAACATCTGTCTCGGCTGATACAGTCGATCGGAACTACAGTCTTCAGAACAGCGAGACGTCGAATATTCAGCTTGCTGCCAATACCTCGGGGATTCTCTCTTGCTACTTCCCATTAAACATTCCCTGGTGGGTGCAAACTACTTTAGTAAGTATGGTAGAGATTCTCTTGTTCTCCTTTACCATCTTCTCCCGCGTTATCATTTTAGAAACACTGCCGTGCTGTTGCAATATATCTGCTTTCCGATGTTCGCGGCATCTCGATGGATGGAGGATATGTTCCATCTCCGCCGACTTCAAGTCTAGACGTCGGAAGAGCGTTGTTTGGATAATATAAGGGACCAAACCCATAGGCTGAGACATCGATGTGGAGTAGGACCTATGGGATGGACACGAATCACAGCGTTTTGAAATTTGTCTTTGACCGTGCGGGCATCATTCACAAGTGGCAAGCATCTTCTTGAGCACGTTCATCAAGGTACCATTCTCGAGGGCAGCGGCAACGCGTTCCTTGTCGCCAAGCTGCTTGTTGACCTGTTCATCTGTGCTGTGGGTGCCCTTTTTGATGCGCACATCGACACGGAAGCGCGGAGGGAGAGCCTGCTCAAGACGAACACGCACGCCTAGGCCGATGACGGTGGCCAGTGAGCAATGGGTAATGGTCGGTGTGATCTCGACCAGGACAGTGCTGATGGCAGATAGCGGCGAGGTGGGGGGCAAGATGCGGATGTCAGGTAAGTTGACGACCGAGAGCGAGCCGAGCGAGAGGGGGTGTTCGGGATCGCAGATGGTGGAGATGAGGTCTGGGGGCATAAGGTGGCGGGTTAGTTTAAGAAGACACAGGCATAAGGTAGGCGAATTGAAGAGAGCAAAGAGAGAGAGAGAGAGAGAGAGAGAGAGAGAGGAGAACAAGTTGGCCATACCGTAAATCTCCTGCTCGTCAATGGCCTCGGAGGTCTCGTCGTCATCATCGTCGTTGTCCGAGTCGGTCGCTGAAACCGGGGCATCAAAGGGGTCGCTGAAGGGGCTGTAACGCGGTATCAGGTCGGTAATGAAGCCAGCCCCGCCACTTTGCTGCCGCCTGCCCGTCGACTCACGGCGGCGCGAGGGCAGGTCAGACGGGTTGAGGATGGTGGGGTTGGCATTATCTTTGTCGAGCTCCATCTGGAGTAGTTCGCGTTTGTACGGCGTGGTCTGGTAGCTTTCAGGACAGGAAATCGGTGAAGGATGCTGGTCCTGATTTCTCGAGTGGTTGGCATCATATCATGGCATACCTACCTGGGCATGGTGGGGTTCGGTCTAGGCGCTTGGCAAACTGTACTGTATTGTACTGTATCTACCATACCGGCGTTACCCAAGGGCTTCTCGGTGGCTTAGTCAGGGAGAAAAAGTCTCTTCCACCTGCATCCGTTCCGTTCATCCGTCCGTCCGTTCACACCCCTGGGCCCTTCTAGACTACATGCCTACCCACTCCTAACAGTACAACAGTATTCACGGTACTAGAGTACACACAGTACTAGAGCAATGTACTACTCTGACTTTCCTGGTCACCAATAGACTACCCTGGCTGGATCCTGTTAAGCATGCTCCCTCCATCAACTCATCTCTCACTCCATTCTGCGCAGCACTTACCAACTCATTCAGGGCAGCGACAATCACACACAGCGTTCAACTTTCAATCAGAAACAAAGTTCCTCCTCCGTCCCCTCCCCCACGACTCAGTTGAAACAAAGCAGCTCACCCCACCAAGAGGGGTGTCATCGTCATGTTCGATAGACATCTCTGCCCAGCTCATCGTCACCTTGTAACGCCTGGGATGAGGGGTGGGGGCGAGGAGGGGCGAATGGGCCGGCCAACTCCAGGCTCTGTTAGCAATTGCTGTACTAATAATCGCCCGACAGTTTAGCCGCCTGCAAGGATGCCCGCTGCCGTGTGGGGTTTGTCGTTTGGCTGCACTGCACTGCACCGTGCAAACCACTCTTGTCTTGTACGCGCATCCCGCATCCTTGCTGTTGTTGCTGGGTCCCGCCCAAGTATCACCAGAGGCTCCTCGTGGTCCTGCAAGTCATCCGCCCATCTTAAATGCGTTCTCCGTCCAACCCTATTCTGCTGTACCGCGCTTGTGTGAGACGGTCGTCTCCGTGCCATGTCTACCATAGTACCTACATATCGTGGTACTCTACACAGTACTGCGCTCGAGAGCCTGTTAAACACTAAATCCCGCCTCAACTGTTAGTAACACGTGCGAGGCTGCCCTGTAGACTATGAAGAGTAACTACTAGTATGGCATGGTCGCGCAGGGAAGCCTTGGAAGTGTACCAGGCGTTGCCGAGCCTTCCTTTGCATGCAACCCAGCCACTGACAGGTGTTGGCGTTACCGTAGGGGACTGCACCGAATCTTCCTCGATACGACACTGGCAACATAACTGGAACCATGAAGGAAAATAGCGCTAATCATTGCCATCGCTTTCGTTCTCCCGCACATATTCAGGAACAAGCGGCGTTGCCGAAGACGACCCACGACCCAATACTAAGGATTCGGGTCCGCTGTAGTCAGAGCCATTGTAACTTGATTCGCCATATGCCGCTGCGAGGATTCCACTATGCGAATCAGGCGGGAGCAGCCGGTCATGTCTTGCACCAGCACCACCATCCATCTCCATTGGGAAGTGCTAATTGTCCTCGCCACAATAGACTAATCGTCCTCGCCCTTCCTAATAGGGAAGCGCCAAGGGGTAATCGCCCAAGTACTCCGTCTCGGCGTTGAATGTAATTTTCTATGATACAAGGAGATACAATACCTACCCAATTCGCTTTACGGCTGTTGCCAGCGGTGAAGTTGCAGCTTTCGCCAGCAAACCTAGGGTGGGAGTAAAGGATATACCACGTGATTATATTAACCTAACTACTAATATTAAGGTTAAGCTATTAGTGGCTGCGATAGGCGAGGTAAGGGTTATAGTAGAGGTAAGGGTTGCAGTAGAGGTAGAGGGTAGAGGTAAGGGTTATAGTTAGAAGTTTTAGTATTCTACTCTAAATGCACAGACTAAATCTAACTTAGATAGGACTAGCTATAACCTAAATAGGTTAGATAAGACTAGCGGGTTCCTAAATAGGACTAGACTAGGGGGTAAAAATTTTCTATAGAGCTTAATACCACAAAAAATATCACGATATCTTAAACACGCTCTAGAGTTTAGCACCTATTTTAGCTAAACGCGTCGCCTGTTAGTACCGCGCTATCACGTACAGGTTAGAAACTAGTAGGTGAATATAAGTAATACTTATCCTCTGCCTACTTAACTCGCCACTAACTACTAAGATAGTTATCCGCTACAATCCTACTACCGCTCGCTTAATTTTTTTATCTATAGAATTTTTCCTTACTAGATATTTACGTTTTAAAAGCACGATACAGTTAGTGCTACCTTAGCTTGCTACTAATTTGCTAGGCGGCCGGGGTATCTGGCGCTAAGTGCTTAGGGCGAGGACGATTAGTCTATTGTGGCGAGGACAATTAGCATTTCCCATCTCCATTGTCTCTCTTTGACACGCTCAGAGAGTAGGCCAGTTCTCCACGGCGGTAGCCCGCAGACTCAGGTGCTTTGACAGCCTATCCCCACCAAGCCTGACTCGCTCTAGGTGCAGGATGCCATACTGTATATCGCAGTGTTCCAATGTGCAAATCGCACGCCATTGTCGTCGCCCACTGCAATCATGCTTCCCCGGTGCCGATGAATGGCCAGCCGTACAGAATAGCTACAGTATAATCGGCAAGAGGAAAAAAAAATCCCGGGAAGCCCTACTCCTCTGCCGCTCTTCTTTGCAGCCGGTAGATAGCGCGGTGGATGTAAGGTAATGTTCTGCCTCGTGTTCGCTTCATGCGATGCCTCGCTCCCTGTCTGTGCGACACGACGAGAAGGTCATTTCGAGGTAGATAGTGGCATAGATAGTGGCAGACGGGCAGCATGTGGCCATTTGGAGTAATATTGTTTCATGCGCGTTCTGCTGAAGGTGATGCGTCTGTTGTGGGAAACCTGGCACACGCTTGCAGCCAACTAGGCGTCTGTACGAATCAATTCGCCGAGGTATCGTGCTAGCACACGCTCAGCGATTCAGCGATGCAGGTGCACGGCAGATGACGGGATTCCTCTTCATGCCCAACCCGGCCGTTGGCGTTTGTGAGCGGAGGTCGAATCTGTGGACATGGAGGTGGTGCCGGTGGTGGTGGGTAAGGGCGGGCACGATACCAAGGCACGGGCAGCAGACATTGAACGGCTCCCGCCGTCTCTGATGATAATCGCTGCGGCGGGCTGCTGTGTCAAGTGTGCAGGCGTCGACCACGAGCTCCTGAAGATCGTGCCAACAAGGTCACAGGTGTACGTACAAGAATGATGATCTGATGATCCAGAATAGGCTTGCCACTTGGCTCTTCTCCTCGGCAAGCCTGCTCCTGACGACTTGGTGTCGTCGTATTCCATGTCCAGCATGGTAATACAAAATGTGCCTATTATGTACGTATTCGTCATGGGAGACTACTGTCGTGCGTTTCTGGAAGGGAAGGGGGAGGGGCATTCTAGAAGACCCGCCCGGTGGCACTGGGGGCGCTGTCACCCTACATACTGTACTAGATACAGTAGTACAGTATAGCACCGTACTGAGTAGGGAAGGGTTGTCCAAAGGGGATAGCAAAGCTTCTACGGCGGCTGAGCTGTTTGGATCCAAGTACGATAGATGGCAGCACAGCACTCTATCAGAGTACAGATTACTGTACCCAGTTACAACGCTGGAGTACTCTAGAGCATGTAACCGTATCGTAACCAGGCCCATCAGGCCGCATCGACCAGACGGGAAAGACAAAGGACAGAGTCTTGAGAGGACTGACTCGCGAGTGGCCATGGGCCTGGCCTGAACCATGGTCACGACCACGGCCCATTCGGCTGTCTGCGGGCGCAAGGGTTATCGAGACCTTTGATCCAGCCCTATCAGAGAGGCAGGGCGCGACTAGGAGTAGAGTACTTGTGCGTCTACGATGCCTCCCCAACGGGCGGCAGCTGTGACTCTCCGCCTTGCTCTTCCCGCGATCCAACGATCCAACGATCCAACGATGCAAACGAACGCAGCCGCCCGTTCGGGGGATGGTATGACTGGCAAACTTTGGATGCCTCTTCTATGCTGAAGATTTCTGCCCTCGAACGCGCTGGGTGAGCGGTGTTGTGTGTGCGACAGGCGACGACCACCTTCCAGCTGCCAGGGCGGTGTTTTTTTTTCTTTCTTTTCTTTCCTCTTTTTTGCCCCTGCAGTCTATATTATAATAATAGAAGCCATCTCTACATACTGCTCTCGTAGTGAATGGCCATACCAACCCTAGGCACTGTACCTAGCATCCACACGCTTCCCGCCGTTGCTTGTTCGACACAACTAAGTTGCCTTACCTGGACAAGTTTAGCACTCCCTCCCCCCTTCACCACTTCACACCCCTGCGACCAAGCACCAGGGGCCCCCCCCACGAGCACGGTAGTTCCCATTGCCCGCCGCTGCATCTTTGGAGACGAGCTCTCACGCGCTTGTGCCTACACAGAGTGCGTAGACTGGGCTTGGTGCCTGCGGCTCCTGGCTCCTGGCTCCTGCAAGTTGCAAGTTGCATCGACTAACCTACTGGCTACTGGCTGCCAACTTGCCCCTTCATACAACCACGATCCGCCCTGGTCCTCCTCCCCCCCCTTCCAAGGCTCTTTCAGCTCTCAGGACTCAGGAGAGCCCATACTCTTACTCTAGTACATACCCTACCACAAACCAGCCCCTCCCCCTCCCTCCCCGACGACGCCACCAAAGTGCGCACGCGTGAGCCACGCTGCGAGCCCGCTGCTTGTGCGCTTGCAAAAGTCCCCCCGACATGACAGACGTCGTCTCCACCCTCTAATCCCTTATGCGCCTTGATCTGCCCGTTTTTGTATAACCCAGTAGGGCAACCCACCCACCCGGCACTGCGGAGATTTCGCACCCGCCTACGGCCCTGAATACCTCCTCCTACTACTGTTACTGTTGCCACTGCTACTACGACCGAGTACATACTGAGAATCCAACTTTCTTTCTTTCTTTCTTTCTTTTTTTTGGCTCTTTCAGCAGCCATCAAGCAGTCGCCAGCCTCTAGTCCTTTCACCCTTTCCCCCCCTCCACCCCCCCTCTTCCCCCCC